CACTTACTGGACAAGGCCCGTACGGCTCCACCCATCAGCTCTTTTAGAAAATGCCCCCTAGTGGCAGTCTGGCTGGCCAGAGGTATTGGCTATTGCCAGCCCACACCAGTGGGCCACTCTCCATAAACCAATACAGCAGCTGCAGCTTTCCTCAATCAACCCCACAGAGCCCCCAGCCTATGCTCTTCTCCAGCAACCTAACCGGGACCTCCTCTGTCACTGCAGCCAACTCATTTCTTTTGCATTACTCTTTGACATCTGATGTAGACCACCATCAGAGACCAGTGGCTCAGCCACAACACCACCTAGAACAATGTACAATCTCTCTTCCCTCATTCATTCAACCAGGGCCCATTACCCCACCTCGGGCAACATCTTTTCTCCTCAGGCTGACCACACCCCCAGTCAGTGCCAGGCTCTGCCTAGGCAGGCTCCCAACAGGGTACACTAAAAAATGTGGGCCCCAACCTCAAAACCTACTCAAATTTTACCCCCCAAAGTGCCAGCTTTTAATATGCAAATAAGGTACTGTCACGCTCAGACGCTCAAGAACTTGCCCCTTGCTCTTCAGATGAGCTAGTATGTCACTCAGTAAACTCCCCTTGCTCCCCAGCAGGTGGCAGACAGCTCGTGCACTTACCTCCTTTCTTGCACCAGCTTCAGGCCACAGGGCTTGCAAACACATCAACCATGTTGGATTCTAGCAGACAAATATCAGTTATCCACTTGGGTTAGGAATCGAGGAATGGGGGTACATACTTGTATACTTGGGATATTATTGCAAAGATAAAATTAGAATTTCTGTTAGACAATTCTAGGGGTAAAAACGTCTTGGTAAAAACGTTATTTATTGAAAGAAATGCTGTACTGACAGCATGGTTATTGTGGCTACAAAACACTTTCCCTAGTGGGTGAAACAAGAAGTTAGAATTAGAAAATTACATATTTTGTTTGGATGTTGGTACAGATTTAATTTAGCTTATGTGTAGGTTTGTTTAAGGCTGACTGATTTGGCTACTTTAGAAAAATGTATTAAATTTGAAAACTCATTTCATGAGTCTCCCAATTTAAAATAGAGATTTCACAGAAGTAGCAAACTGTGACAAGGCATACATCTGTCACAAAGCAGATACCCCCCTAGGGGGTAATAGTGCCCTGACACTACAGAGGAGATTCATAGATTCTAGGACTGGAAGGGACCTCGAGAGGTCATCGAGTCCAATCCCCTGCCCTCATGGCAGGACCAAATACTGTCTAGACCATCCCTGATAGATATTTAAGAGTAGGTTAGATAAATGTCTCCAGAGATGGAGATTCCACAACCTCCCTAGGCAATTTATTCTAGTGTTTAACCATCCTGACAGTTAGGAACTTTTTCCTAATGTCCAACCTAAACCTCCCTGGCTGCAGTTTAAGCCCATTGCTTCTCGTTCTATCCTTAGAGGTTAAGATGAACAAGTTTTCTCCCTCCTCCTTATGACACCCTTTTAGATACCTGAAAACTGCTATCATGTCCCCTCTCAGTCTTCTCTTTTCCAAACTAAACAAACCCAATTCTTTCAGCCTTCCTTCATAGGTCATGTTCTCAAGACCTTTAATCATTCTTGTTGCTCTTCTCTGGACCCTCTCCAATTTCTCCACATCTTTCTTGAAATGCGGTGCCCAGAACTGGACACAATACTCCAGCTGAGGCCTAACCAGCGCAGAGTAGAGCAGAAGAATGACTTCTCGTGTCTTGCTCACAACACACCTGTTAATACATCCCAGAATCATGTTTGCTTTTTTTGCAACAGCATCACACTGTTGACTCATATTTAGCTGCTGGGATGTTCCCCCATCAGATATGAGGGTCTCCACATTAGAGTCATTGGTTGCCAGACAACCTGGGCCTTGGGATGGGGCTCCAGCTGGGCAGGGGCTAGTCTTTGTGCTCAGCAGGTTACTCCAGGAGCAGGAGAGGTGAGGGGAGATTTCCCTGGCTAGGGTTTTGGTGCCCGAGGAGGGTGAGAGCTGGGGCAGGCTTTAGAGCAGGTTGTTCAGCAGCTGGGAGCCCAGGTGCTTGTCTGTCTCTGAGTGGCTGAGGAGCATGGTGTGCAGCTGGTCCATGCACTTGAGGTAGCCACTGCTGTAGTGCTGCTTCATGGCCAGGCTCTGCTTGGTGCTGGCTGCAAGAGATGGGGCAACATCAGAAACAGCATAGCAGACGGGGCTCAGGAGCTGCTGGGGCAGTCAGCCACCAGCCAAGCCCAGGAACCTGCCAGCCTGCATCATCATCATAAGTAAGGCTACGTTTTAGTCACGGATATTTTTAGTAAAAGTCATGGACAAGTCAGGGGCAGTAAACAAAAATTCATGGCCTGTGACTTTTACTAAAAATACCTGTAAATAAAACGGGGGGGGGGGGGGGGTGGCCTGGGACCCTTGCTGGTGCTGGGGGCGGGGGGTTTGGCAGGGCCGGCAGGCTCCCTACCTGGCTCCACACCTCCCCCCACAGCAGCAGCAGCAGTTTTTGGGTGTGGGAAGGGTCAGAGGGTCGGGGCATGGGATGGGGTGATGCGGGCTCTGGGCAGTGCTTACCTGGGGGGCTCCCCAGAAGTGGTGACATCCCCCTTGCTCAGCTCCTGGGTGGAGACATGGCCAGGCAGCTCTGCACACTGCCTCCGCCTGTGGGAAACTGAGGCCAATGGGAGCTGTGCTGCACCATGATCTGCAGCATGTCAGCTTTCTGCAGCTTGGACTGCAGCAAGGAGGAGGGGGAGGCACCATTAATGAGTGATGGGGTACAAGGATTTGGGGACTCAGGGTATTAGGAATACAAGGGGCTTGGGGGAAGGATGCAGACACCTATACCCAAGCTGTAAGAGGGTTGCTTCCAGAGGCATTAGAGGTAAGAACATAAGAACGGACACACTGGGTCAGAGACTGGAGATTTAGACACCCAGAGCATAAGGCTGCATCCCTGACCGTCTTGGCTGATAGCCATTGGTGGACCTATCCTCTAGGAATTTAGCTAATTCTTTTTCTAACCCAGTTATGCTTTTGGCCGTCACAACATCTCCTGGCAACATGTTCCACAGGTTAACTGTGTATCATGTGAAGAAGTTTTTCTTTATGTTTGTTTTAAACCTGCTGCCTATTAATTTCAATTGGTGACCCCTAGTTCTTGTGTTATGAGAAGGAGTAAATAATACTTCCTTATTCGCTTTCTCCACACCAGTCATGATTTTATAGACCTCTATCATATTCTCCTGCAGTTGTCATTTTTCTAAGCTGAACTGTCTAGGTCTTTTTTAGTCTCTCCTCCACTGCTGGGCGTAACTAGGAGTGGAAATTTGTGTGGGCCCCGACTTTCAGGTGGATGTTCAATCACAGACTGTGCTAGGCTGCCATGCCAGCTGACTGTGCAGCCTGGCCAGGGCGGACAGCGCTGATCTCCTTAGCTGCACTCTGACTTGGCAGCAGGGAAAGAGGGAGCCATTGCCTCATTGCAGGGTATGGGCTGCTGTCCTTCAGCTGGGGGCTCACATCTCCTGCGGGCCATAGGACCCCTGTGTGGGGCCAGCTCTGGCTGCGCTGCGGGGGCATGAACAGGGGTTTGCCTGTGCAAGCAACTTGGCCTCTCAGTGCGACCCCTTCTTATAAATTAAAAACACTTTTTATATATTTAACACCATTATAAATGCTGGAGGCAAAGCGGGGTTTGAGGTGGAGGCTGACAGCTTGCGACCCCCCCGTGTAAGACCCTTGTGACCCCCAGAGGGGTCCCGACCCTCAGTTTGAGAACCCCTGATTGAGTCTGACCTCCTGGATATTACAGGCTACCAACACCACTCAGCACCCACATACTAAACTCAGCAACTGAAATTAAACCAAGTATTGCAGACCATAGGAGACTAGAATATTATGTGCCAGAGGGAGAGATCAGCTTGGCAGTGACCTTAGTTTTTTTGGGTTGGTTTTTTTTCTTTGCCTTTCTCTGCAGCATGTGGGTGGGGTCATGTGCCAGGATTATCTGGGTATATCTTATTTAATCATTTCCCTGCCATTGCAGGCCCCTCACGCATGGCACACCTCGGTCCCTCCTAGTCTATGCCTGTGGCACATTAGTCTCCTGTGAGCTGTAATACTTTGATCTCATTTTGGTTGTTGGGTTTAGTGTGAGGGTGCTGGGTGGTGAGGTCAGATTAGATGATCTGGTAGTGCCGTCTGGATTTAGACTCTGACTCTCTAAACTCTCATTAAGCTGAATTAGATTGATTTATGTTTTGGAACCTGGTGCCTAGGGCTGTTTCTGCTGCTCTCACAGGATATTCTCACTAACTTGCACAACAAGGAGTTGCCTCAGGCATTGGCGCCGACTCCGTGAGTGCTCCGAGGCTGGAGCACCCAGGGGGAAAAATTGGTGGGTGCTCAGCACCCACCGGCAGCTCCCCGCCCAGCTCACCTCCACCTCTGCCTCCTCCCCTGAGTGTGCCGCGTGCCCGCTTTTCCCCCCCCCCCAAGCTCCCAGCACTTGCACCACGAAACAGCTGTTTCGCGCAGCTGGGAGGGAGGGGGAGGAGGGGGAACACGGCACGCTCGGGGAAGGGGCCGGGCCGGGGATTTGGGGAAGGGGTCCAATAGGGGCAGGGAGGGGGCAGAGTTGGGGCAGGGACTTTGGGGAAGGGGTGGGAATGGGGGCGGGGCAGGGGCGGGGAAAGGGTGGAGTCAGGGCGGGTCCAGGGGTGGAGGGGCACAAGCACCCACAGGCGCTGGGGAAAGTTGGCGCCTATGGCCTCAGGCAGTTTGTTATTTCAATATCTGCTGTGAAAAGACACATGCGATAGGAGCAAGTGGCTCTCTTCTAAAGTCATTTGTTTATAAGCTTGCATGGCACACCTTGCACAGTCAGCTTCAGGACCCGCCCTTCTTAATGATTTTCTTTAGATTTATTTGGACTGAAATTTCTCTACACTTTTGAAAATTTTGTTTCAATTTCCTGCAAAGACACACAACTGTGCCTAGGACCAGAGTGAGGCTTCAATCTCTGGTGGTGGAGCTTCTGGCCCAGGGAATGGCCCCACAGCATTTGGGGCAGCTTGGAAAGGCTGGGACGAATTTTCCCACTTCCTTGGTCTCTTGGATTCTTCGCCTGGCTTCTCAGATGTATTCCCATCACACAGAGTCACTTTGTGCAGGAACTCCAGCTCCTTGTGGAGCAGGGCTTTGCCCAACTTTGTCCGAGGAAAAAACAATCGCATGACACTGGAGAGAAAATATTAGTGGAAGAAGTGGGAAGCACATCAGCTCCATTGTGTGTAACACCAGCTATGAGGACAGTGGTTCTATAGCATCTTTCCTTGCACACATGGGGTTCAGTTAAGGCCTGGTTCATTATGGTAGCACCAAGTCCCAACTGCAGGAGGGAGCCTCAGAAATACTTTATAGTCTATAAAGGCCCCACTCAGAATTGCAAGGGGCAGGGTGGGGCGGGGTGCAATGCACTGAGCACTACAGACACACTGAGCAACGTTCCCTAGCTCAGTCTCAAATTCTCATTGCCAGCAGCTCTTTCAGGCAGCTATGTCCCTTAAGAATGGGTTCATCCATTCCACACTGCAGGGGGTGCCCCATGCTGCATCTCTGTGTTCCAGATTCAGCTTCACCCAATAGTCAGGCCGCCCACTAAAGCAGTAATGAGGGAAGGGAACTGGGGAATGTTCTAACTTGCTACCTATTTTTATTTAAAGAATCTAAACAGACCTACATGTACACTGAAACAAAGAGGATGGATGGTGTGACTCCAAAGGTGAATACACACAGCAGCAGCACCAGACGCGAGATGGCAGGGACTGAAATAGATACAGCAGCATTACCAGAAGTGGAGATCAATGCCTGATGGATTTCTGCAACTCTCAATGCATGGAAGACTAGCTGGGGAGACTTGTAAAAGGTGAGGGTGAACAAACTAAGTGGCTTGGGTTTCTGTAGGCTCTACCTAGCCTAGCTGCTGGGACCAGCATGGAAAGGGTAATCTCACAGACAGGAACTTGGAGCTGGAACTCCCAGCATTGTCTGACGATGTATGACAACTGGGATCCAGACACCAAACGTGAGCAGAGCTCAGAAGCTGCACTCTCTATGTCACCATATCTTGCAACTCATAGGTTGCTGTATCACTCTAACAGGTGAGCCACAGAGACAGCAGAAACTGTGCTAAGATGCTATCAGCTGGGAATGATTCCTCCTGTCTGAGCTGCACCGGCCTACTTCCTGTTGGGAAGCATGCTTTACCGTCATTACAGAAGCGTTACTTGCTGGACTAGGAAAGCCCTCACTACTCACCGCAGTCTTCACTGGATGTAGCCCCTTTGTGATAGGTCACCAAGCTCCTTGTGCAGGTCTCACACTCTGTCTTCCCATAATGCTCATTGTAAGAACCCAGGGGGCAAGTGGCACATGTGACTGTATTCAGTGAGCTGTACAGCCCTGGGGAACAAGCAACTGTAAAACCATTAAAAGAAGAGATGCAGTGACATTTGGGGTCAGGGTCAGAGACTCAGATTGAGGATTCCTATCAGGGTTAAAGATTAGAGTGATGGAGCCGGTGCAGGAAAGAGCATCTTATTAATGGATATCCCATGGCTCATCAAGAAAAGAAATGTTTTGTGTGTACAACATTTTCCTACAGCCTCTATCTACTTGTAATTAATTTTTACATGGTGTGTTTAAGAATAACTGCATCTTCATCTCCATTTCTAGACATTAGTATAACAAAAGTGGCTCCAGTGTGAAGTCTGTGATAGGAACAATCCCCAGTGAGGATTGTGCCCTACTGATGGGTTTAGGTGGAAAGATTTTTGACAATTGACTTACTGCAACAGTTGGAACACCCGTCTGTAGTGTTAATTTTACCGAACCCTGGCTTACAATGATCCACCTTATAGGCCAGAAGTGACCCAGCTTTGTAGTGCAAAGGAGGCAGATTCCCCTCACGGATCTGAAACTCATTCAGCACCTCGATGGAGCGATGAATTCTCTCATAGGCCTGTGAGGAGTCAAGAAAACAATTAGCAGTATTCACCAGGTCAATAACATCTATATTTCCCACTTCCCCCTGGCTCCCAGCCCACCATCCACAGAGATTAAAAAAAACAGTATGCTGCCCTGGCAATGAGGGATGAAGAATCTCCCCCAAAGATGGAGGAGGAGATGCCATGTAGCCCCAAGACTGGGAGGATCATGGACCCCACACCCAAGAGAAAACCAAGGATGGTGGTGGTTGGTAACTCTCTTCTAATGGGGAAGGAGGCATCCATCTGCCAGCCGGACAGATGTGCTGCCTGCCAGGGGCCCATATCTGAGACATTACAGAAGGATTGCTGAGGATCATGCGGCTCTCTTGCCACTACCCTATGCTGCTCATCCATGTGGGCACTAATGATACTGCGAGGTATGACCCTAAGCAGTTCAAAAGCGACTACAGGGCTCTGGGAGTGATGGTGAAGGAGTTGGGGGCACAGGTGGTGTTCTCATCTATCCTTCCAGTCAATGGTAGGGGCCCAGGCAATGACAGACACATCCTAGAGGTGACTGCATGGCTGTGCAGATGGTGTCGACAGGACAGCTTTGGCTTCCTCCACCATGTGATGTTGTTCTGACAAGAAGGATGCTGAGTAGAGATGGGGTTCTCCTAACAAGAAAGGGGAAGAGTATCTTTGGATACAAACTGGCTAATCTAGTGAGGAAGACTTTAAACTAGGTTAGATGGGGCAGGAGACAAAAGCCCACAGATAGGTCCAAAACATAAAGACCTGGGTGAAGGGTCGGAATTTGGGAGGAACATGGGCAATCATAGTGGGGCAAAGGAGACAGAAGGGAATATAGAGGGGAAATTGAATTAACATCTTAGATGTCTGTATACTACTGCAAGAAGTAGGAGGAATAAACAGGAAGAACTACAAATACTAGTGAATAATCACAATTATGACATAATTGGCATCACAGAGTCTTGGTGAGATAATTCACACAACTGGAATATTGGTATAGAAGAAGCTTATTCAGGAAGGGCAGGCAGGGAAAAATGGGAGGTGTTCAGTGTTACCTTGTATATCAAAAATGTATACACTTGCATTGAGGTTGAGATAGAAGCGGAAGCAGACCAGTTGAAAGTCTCTGGATAAGGATAAAAGGGGTTTAAAAATGGTGATGTCATGGCAGGGGGGTCTACTATATACCACCTAACTATGGAGAAGAGATGGATGAGGGTTTTTGTTTTTTTTAAAAAAACAACAACAAATCATCCAAAGCACATGATTTGGTGATGATGGGGAACTTCAACTACCCAGAAATCTGTTGGGAAAATAATACAGCAGAGTAATGATTATTCAACAAGTTCTTGGAATGCATTGGAGATAACGTTTTATTGCAGAAGGTGGAGAAAGTGACTAGGGAAGAAGGTGTTCTAGACTTGATTCTAACAAACCATGATGAACTGGCTGTGAATTTGAAGGTGGAAGGAGCTTGAGTGAAAATGACCATGAAACGATGAGTTCAAGATGCTAAGGAATGGTAGGAGAGAAAACAGCAGAGTAAAGACAACGGACTTCAAGAAGGCACATGTTAGCAAACTCAGGGAATTGGTAGGTAAGATACCATGGGAAGCAAGTCTAGGGGAAAAGGAGTCAGAGGAGTTGGCAGTTTTTTAAAGAGACGTTATTAAAGGCACAAGAGCAAATTATCCCAATGCATCAAAAACACAGGAAGTATGATAAGAAACCACCTGGCTTAACCAGGACATCTTCAATCACAGAATATTAGGGTTGGAAGAGACCTCAGGAGGTCATCTAGTCCAATCCCCTGCTCAAAGCAGTACCAACACCAACTAAATCATCCCAGCCAGGGCTTTGACAAGTTGGGCTTTAAAAACCTCCAAGGATGAAGATTTTACCACCTCTCTAGGTAACCCATTCCAGTGCTTCACCACCCTCCTAGTGAAAAAGTGTTTCCTAATATCCAACCTAGACCTCCCCCACTGCAACTTGAGACCATTGCTCCTTGTTCTGACATCTGCCACCACTGAGAACAGCCGAGCTCCATCCTCTTTGGAACCCCCCTTCAGGTAGTTGAAGGCTGCCATCAGATCCCCCCTCGCTCTTCTCTTCTGCAGACTAAATAACCCCAGTTCCCTCAGCCTCGCCTCGTAAGTCATGTGCCCCAGCCCCCTAATCATTTTCGTTGCCCTCTGCTGGACTCTCTCCAGTTTGTCCACATCCCTTCTGTAGTGTGGGGACCAAAACTGGATGCAGTACTCCAGGTGTGGCCTCACCAGTGCCGAATAGAGGGGAATAATCACTTCCCTCGATCTGCTGGCAATGCTCCTACTAATACAGCCCAATATGCCATTGGCCTTCTTGGCAACAAGGGCACACTGCTGACTCATATCCAGTTTCTCATCCACTCTAATCCCCAGGTCCTTTTCTGCAGAACTGCTGCTTAGCCAGTCGGTCCCCAGCTAATGACCTGAAACTCAAAAAAGAGACATACAAAAAGTGGAAACTAGGTCAAATTATGAAGGATTCATATAAAAAAAAAGACAACTCAAGAATATAGAGGCAAAATTAGAAGGACCAAGGCACAAAATGAGATTAAACTAGCTAGGGACATAAAGGGTAACATGAAAACATTTTACAAATGCATTAGAAGTGAGAGGAAGACCAAGGCCCATTACTCAATGAGAAGAAAATAACAGAAATCACAGCAAAGGCCAAAGTGTTAAATGCCTTTTTTGGTTTCAGAGAGACAAGATGGGTGAGGTAATATCTTTTATTGAACCAACTTCTGTTGGTGAGAGAGACAAGCTTTTGAGCCACACAGGGCTTCTTCAGGTCTGGGAAAGGTATTCCCAGCATCTCAGCTAAATGCAAGGTGGAACAGATTGTTTAGTATAAGTATTAGAGTGGTAGCCGTGTTAGTCTGTATCAGCAAAAATAACGTGGAGTCCTTGTGGCACCTTAGAGACTAACAAATTTATTTGGGCATAAGCTTTCATGGGTTAGATGCATCTGATGAAGTGGGTTCTAACCCACGAAAGCTTATGCCCAAATAAATTTGTTATTCTCGAAGGTGCCACAAGGACTCCTCATTATTTTTGCTGATACAGACTAACACGGCTACCACTCTAATACTTAGTATAAGTAGTTAGCACATATTGTATAAGGGACCATTCAAAGTAGAGTGGCCAATTAACACCTCTGCAGTCATAAGACAAAAATTGGGGGCTAGTGGGTTACAGATTGTTGTAATAAACCATAAATCCAGTGTCTCTGTTCAGTCCATGATTTTTAGTGACGAGCAGATTAATGAATTTAAGCTCCCAGGCTCATCTTTTGAAAGTCTTGTGCAGGTTTCCTTTGAGGACTGGTAGGTCAGATACAGATTGATTGTTTTGTGAGAAGTGTTCACCTCCAGATAAGGTGGTAGGAACAAAGAACGTAGCGCATACTTACAAGATGGGGACTCAGTGACTCTGAGAAAGATTTGGGGGTCATGGTGGACCATCAGCTGAACATGAGCTTCCAGTGTGACGCTGGGGCCAAAAGAGCTAATGCGATCATAGGATGTATAAATAGGGGGATTTTGAGTAGTGGAGAAAGGTTTTTACACCTCTGTATCCTGTGTTCAGTTCTGGTGCCCACAATTCGAGAAGGAGGTTGATACATTTGAGAGGGTTCAGAAAAGAGCCATGAGAATGAATAAAGGATTATATAGCATGGCTTATAGTGATAGGCTTAAAGAGGTCAATCTATTTAGCTTAACAGAGAGAAAGTTAAGGGGTGACTTGATTACAGTCTAAAAGCATTTACACAGGGAACACATTTCACAATGCGCTTTTCAGACTAGCAGAGAAAGATCTAACACGATCCAATGACTGGAAGTTGACACTAGACAAATTCACATTGGAAATAAGGCATACACTTTTACAATTGAGGATAATTAACCATTGAAACAATTTACCAAGGGTCATGAAGGAGTCTCCGTTACTGACAATTTTTAGATCAAGATTGGAACATTTTCTACAAGATATGCTCTTGGAATTATTTTGGGGGATTTCTCTGGCCTTTCTTTACAGAAAGTCAGACTAGATGATCACAATGCCTCCTTCTTGCCTTGGAATCTATGAATGATCAGGAACCTGGGACACTGCCCCAGCTTTCCAGCCATAATGATCTGCAACTCCTCTACAGTGCGTTTAGTCAGTTTTGTGGACAATTTTGCTTTCTGAGCTAGGACTCTGATACTGATTTGGAATCTGGTACCAATTACAGCAGATACATTACCTCTTTAGAGCGATCCTCGATGTCTTGTTCACAGTTTTTGCTCATACTTTCTGGCGGGCAATGAATTTCCCACATGACTCCATAAGGAAACACTGTGGTGAAATAAAGCAAACATGGTCACTGACAGCTCCTGCACTGTCTCATAGTATTTATCCATCCATCCTTGTATGTTAGCATTTCACAACTGTAAATGGCTACTGATGTCCAGATCATTCCAGACACTGTACACAATCCACAAAGTATAGCTACAAAGAAGTTGCTGTCATTTCTGAGAAGCATCTTTATGCCTCAGGCTTGGCTCTGGGTTCTAGCCTTGATTCCATCCTGGACACTGGGAATTGACTTTTCTCTCAAGACAAGAACAAGACAAATAAACCTGTTACTTGCATCCATATTCAACAGTACTGGGTTTAAGGGGGGAAAAGGTAGCATGCCCCTGTCGGAAAACAATATGCAATGTCTGAATGTACAATTCCCATAGACATTTCCGAGCTTCCTGTAGACAGCTGCAATCCTGAAGACAGCCTTCGCCAGATGCTGTAACCCAGGCTCCAGGCTTCTCCAATAAATGCTAGTTTAGTAAGTTGACAACATAAACTGTTTGGGCCAAACTCTCCTCTCGCTTACCCAGTCATAACTCTCTTGATGTCAGCAGAGTTACACCTGACTTATGCCACTGCAAGAGGAAAGGGGTCCTTGTGTTATTTTGTTACCTGATCAGTTTTGCAGCAGCTTGAAGCCTGGCTTGTAGTCTGTTCTTGGATTTGCACCACCCTATTCATGTCACCTTTGGTGAGTGGCTTTGGCTGTCTGAAGGAGTCTTGGAAATGCAAACTGTGATTAAATACATGCCCAGAGGCAATGGTGATGAGAAGGGCCAGCAAGGTCATGGGTGTAATTTCCTATCTGTAAACACACTAAGGGTTAAGTAACAAGCTCTGCTCTTACTCAGCACAGTCATCCATACTTCAGAGTGGTTCCTTTCCTGCGAGGGCCAGATGCACTTAGTGTATTTTTCAAAGACCTCACAGCTCAGATTCCTCACTAGCCCATTCAGATGCTCCAGAAAGCTGTGGATGTAGATGCTGTTGGTTGCTGAGCTGCAGAGAGGAGCGTAAAACGCAGACCGGATCTCCACACTCCTGTCTGGCCTGTGATAAGCTAAAGGGAAAGGACAGTGTTAACTCTATTAAACACTCAATTTGCATACAGTTTTCTAATCCCCATAGTGCTGCACAAGCAGCATCCTCCCCATCTATGTTGGCAACAAGAAGAAAGTCAAAGAAAGTGTGGGCCCCTTACTGAATGAGGGAGGCAACCTAGTGACAGAGGATGTGGAAAAAGCTAATGTACTCAATGCTTTTTTTGCCTCTATCTTCACGAACAAGGTCAGCTCCCAGACTGCTCCACTGGGCAGCACAGTATGGGGAGGAGGTGACCAGCCCTCTGTGAAGAAAGAAGTGGTTCGGGACTGTTTAGAAAAACTGGACGAGCACAAGTCCATGGGGCCGGATGCGCTGCATCCGAGGGTGCTAAAGGAGTTGGCGGATGTGATTGCAGAGCCATTGGCCATTATCTTTGAAAACTCATGGTGATCGGGGGAGGTCCTGGATGACTGGAAAAAGGCTAATGTAGTGCCCATCTTTAAAAAAGGGAAGAAGGAGGATCTGGGGAACTACAGGCCAGTCAGTCTCACCTCAGTCCCTGGAAAAATCATGGAGCTGGTCCTCAAGGAATCAATTCTGAAGCACTTAGAGGAGAGGAAAGTGATCAGGAACAGTCAGCATGGATTCACCAAGGGCAAGTCATGCCTGACCTAATTGCCTTCTATGAGGAGATAACTGGGTCTGTGGATGAGGGGAAAGCAGTGGATGTGTTATTCCTTGACTTTAGCAACGCTTTTGATATGGTCTCCCACAGTATTCTTGCCGGCAAGTTAAAGAAGTATGGGCTGGATGAATGGACTATAAGGTGGATAGAAAGCTGGCTAGATCGTCGGGCTCAACGGGTAGTGATCAATGGGTCCATGTCTATTTGGCAGTCAGTATCAAGCGGAGTGCACCAAGGGTCGGTCCTGGGGTCGGTTTTGTTCAATATCTTCATTAATGATCTGGAGGATGGCGTGGACTGCACTCTCAGCAAGTTTGCAGATGACACTAAACTGGGAGGAGTGGTAGATACACTGGAGGATAGGGATAGGATACAGAGGGACCTAGACAAATTAGAGGATTGGGCCAAAAGAAACCTGATGAGGTTCAACAAGGACAAGTGCAGAGTCCTGAACTTAGGACGGAAGAATCCCATTCACTGTTACAGACTAGGGACCGAATGGCTAGGAAGCAGTTCTGCAGAAAAGGACCTAGGGGTTACAGTGGACGAGAAGCTGGATATGAGTCAACAGTGTGCCCTTGTTGCCAAGAAGGCTAACGGCATTTTGGGCTGTATAAGTAGGGGCACTGCCAGCAGATCGAGGGACGTGATCATTCCCCTCTATTCGACATTGGTGAGGCCTCATCTGCAGTACTGTGTCCAGTTTTGGGCCCCACACTACAAGAAGGATGTGGAAAAATTGGAAAGAGTCCAGCAGAGGGCAACAAAAATGATTAGGGGGCTGGAGCACATGACTTATGAGGAGAGGCTGAGGGAACTTGGATTGTTTACTCTGCAGAAGAGAAGAATGAGGGGGGATTTGATAGCTGCTTTCAACTACCTGAAAGGGGGTTCAAAGGGGATGGATCTAGACTGTTCTCAGTGGTACCAGATGACAGAACAAGGAGTAATGGTCTCAAGTTGCAGTGGAGGAGGTTTAGGTTGGATATTAGGAAAAACTTTTTCACTAGGAGGGTGGTGAAGCACTGGAATGGGTTACCTAGGGAGGTGGTGGAATCTCCTTCCTTAGAGGTTTTTAAGGTCAGGCTTGACAAAGCCCTGGCTGGGATGATTTAGTTGGGAATTGGTCCTGCTTTGAGCAGGGGCTTGGACTAGATGACCTCCTGAGGTCCCTTCCAACCCTGATATACTATGATTCTATCCTGTGGGGGAGCTAATCTCTTTAGGGTATGTCTACACTGTGATAAAAGACCTATGGCATGGCCACAGCGGGCCCAGGTCAGCTGACTCAGGTTTATGGGGATTGGTCTTGCGGGGCTATAAAACTGCAGTGTAGATGTTTGGGCTCAGGCAGGAGTCTGAGCTCTGTCACCCATCAAGAGGTTAGAGTCTCAGAGCATGGGCTACCTACAGCCCAAGCCCAAATGTCTACATTTTAGCCCTCCAGCCCAAGCCCTAGAAACCCAGCGCCCCGGGCTCTGAGACTTGGTGCCACTCCCTGCAGCTAGGACATTGACTCGGGGAGGCAGACTGAGGTTTGCCTTCATAAGTTCATGTACTGAGTGAAAAGTGCAGCTTCAATCAGAATCCTTTAAAAACTATTTTTATGAAATAAGAAAAAATAAAATGCATGTTTATGTGATTGTTCAGCATAGCAAATATTCAAGCATGCACAAAAATTCAAAGATTCAGAAATATAAAAGTATAGATCTGAACATGAAAGTGCTGTGTGACGTAAAGACTGTTCATGACACTAAAGTTGAAGTCTTCTTGGATAATAGTGCCTTAATTCCTCCACAAAGACATGCAAGGTTCAGTTTTCAAGTCAGATCACTTTCATATAACAGGAGAATTGTTTCTCTTTCTTTCATGGGTCATGCTCATCCTTAGGTGTGATAAAATTATTTTCAAACAAGAAAAGGAATTCCCACATGTTGCAATTGATGCTCCAAATAACAAGACCACTATAGACATTTAAAAAATACACGGGAAAGCCTCATTTAAGTCCTTGGCAGCACCTAGAACTTCTTCAAATTCTTTGCAATTTTTTTTTACCTATCAGTGGTTTAAATACACCCATTTGGGGGAGAGGGGTGGGGGTGGGGTGTCACATGTTACCTGTGAGGAAGATGGCTGCCTAGTCCCAGACTTCTCACTCCCCACATATCAAGTCGTCTCTAATAATTACTTTCCTAGCAAACTGCCAATAACTTTCTGTCATAAAAGTTTAAATTAAGCCCCTGGATAAACTTCAAACTGTTGACTATGGATTCCAATGACAAAATGAGAGGCAACAAAAGACCTAAGCCTGAATCACCTCAACAGCTGAAGTGGGAGAATGCAAGGCCACAGCAGAACCTAACCCAGGATATTGCAACACTGAAAGAATTCCTCACAGACTGACTAGATTCAATATTGAAAGATATTCATGGCCTCTCTAAAGATATATGTGATGTAAATTCCTGAATGGTTCACTTGGAAAATGAGCTACAAAAGACTACCATTGAAACAGTGAAATTAAAGAAGAAACTGACTCCTTAAAGCTCAGATTAGATGAACTGGAAGAAAATCAGGATGATTTAAAAAACAGATCTTGAAAAAACAACTTTTGTCGCTTGGGCACTGCTGAGGGCTTTGAGGGGATGGATATTATCATCTTTCTTCAGAAGCTGCCCCCTGACCTACTTAATTGGACCCCAGCTGCTCCCATTAGCTATTGAAAGGGCTCATCGAATGCCTGGTATTAGAAAGCAGGAATCCCATCATCTTCAAGCTGCTGAAGTTCAGTGACAAAGTACCGCTAATGAATGCTGCCAGAAAAGCTGAAACCCTTATGTACAAAGGCCACAAAATTTCTCTTTTTTCCTGACTTCTCAGCTGTGTTTAACAAAAAGAAGGCTGCATTCAATGGCATAAAACAAATCCTGAAGGGGACCACTGTCAGATACACATCAAGTACCTATCCACCTTCTGTACGGATTTAGCAGGCTCCACAAGATTTTTGCAAAAACTCCTCTGAAGGTTGGCAGACATTCCAAAGACTGAGATCAGATTTGACCAAAAGTACGAGAATGTTTTTTTTTAAATCATAAAAAGCATACTTCAACAAGTTTAAAAATCAGTATGGTTTTCCTATGTATCCTTGTAGATATGGTAATATTGATTTATATAATCATAGAATATCAGGGTTGGAAGGGACCTCAGGAGATCATCTGGTCCAACCCCCTGCTCAAAGCAGGACCAATCCCCAGACAGGTTTTTGCCCCAGATCCCTAAATAGCCCCCTCAAGGATTGAACTCACAACCCTGGGTTTAAGGAGGCCAATGCTCAAACCACTGAGCTATCCCTCCCCCCAAGCAGATAACCAGTTGCACTGAACTCTTCTATTGATCTCCTTTAGAACCAAATAGTAAAGACAATTGTGGAGCACTGCAATGCAAAGAGTAATAGTTTATCACTAAACGGGGGTATACAGCGCCATCTACAGACTGAAGTATTATGTGCACTAATCATCACAATTTGCATTGCCAGACAGATTCTCTTCACCAGATTTGCCTCTGATGGATTGTGTTACAATAACCACTAATCCCTTGGAACAGTCAACACTCCTGACATGTAAAGCAGACTATAACCTAAATCTTAAATCGCACTAGTTATTCACTTGTGCAGGGCATTTGATATACTATGAATGATTTGTTTTATATATTATTGTGTTTTTCATATTTACATTTTGTATTTAGATTTATCGTTAGCCTATTGCCTTTCAAGTTCTCTCCCTTGCTCTTTTCTCGAATAAATAGACTTACCATGCAATTTATATGGGTAAAAAAACAGCCTTGCTTGTCACACAAGACCCTTAAAAAATCCTGGGCAACTGGAGGTATGGGGTTGCCAGATTTGTGTTTATATTTATATACCTATATATAAATTTTTTTATATGATCTAGCATTCCAAATGCATCCTATTGTAAGGTGTTTTCCCTCCAGTAAAACTTTATTCAGCCTTGTTTGACACTGAAAAAAGCCTAGCTATGCAATTTGATTCCCACTCATCTTTTATATACACCTTAAGAGGCTTCCCACACTCAAAGAAGAATCCAATCTTGCATCTACATGGGGCATCTTGCAACTCATTAAGATGATTACAGCATCTGATCTTATTAATTCTCTTCTCCTACCTCTCTGGGATAACCTAGTTTAAAGCCCTCCTCACTAGGTTAGCAAGCCCGCCTGAGAAGATGATCTTCCTTCTCTTCATTAGGTGGATCCCATCTCTTCCTAGCAATCCTTCTTCCCAGAACAACATCCCATGGTCGAAGAATCCAAAGCCCTCTCTCCGACACCACCTGTGTAACCACGCATTCACCTCCACAATTCGACGGTCCCTACCTGGGCCTTTTCCTTCAACAGGGAGGATGGACGAGAAAACAACTTGCGCCTCAGACTCCTTTATCCTTCTTCCCAGAGCCAAGTAGTCTGCTCAAGGTCATTCTTGGCAGTATCATTGGTGCCTACATGGAGAAGTAGGAAGGGGTAATGGTCTGAGGTCTTGATCAGTCTCGGCAGACACTCCATCACATCCTGGATTCTAGCTCCAGGCAAGCAGCACACTTCTCGAGTCTCCTGGTCTGGTCGGCAGATGGATGACTCCGTCCCCCTTAGGAGGGAGTCCCCGACCACCACCACCCGTCTCCTCCTCTTGGGAGTGGTGGTCATGGAACCCCCATCCTTAGGACAATGCATCCCGTGCCTTCCGGCCAATGGGGTCTCCTTCTGATACCTTCCCTCAGAGGGCTCTTCCAAATCCTTCTCCGCAGCAATATCTGTGCAGAGAGCCTGAAAACGGTTTCGCACCTCTATCTGCATTGGGGGTACATAGGTTCTCTGATGCTTGGTCCCAGGCTTGTGTTGAGTTTCCTGCGTGCTACTGTCTCTTTCCCTCAGGGCATGCAGCTGCCAGGAACCCTCTAGCTCCCTCCCCAGCAGTGTCTTCTATGTGTGAGCTGGGTTCTGCCGGGTCCAGCAGCCCCTAGTGGTGGCTAGCAGCACTGCAGCCCATTTCTGTGGGAGGAAGGAAATTCTGCATGTACAACAGTAATTTTTGCAAAATTCTGCATTGCGCAGTGGCGCAGAATCCCCCCAGGAGTAGAGAGAGTGTGGGCTGACTAGAACTGGAACGCACCTCTAGAGTCCATAAGAAACCTTAGATGGTCTGCCCAGGGGGCCTGGGACACTACTGCAGAGTCAAGGAAGGGGAACTCCTAGATTGACTGACCACAGGGTTAAAGCTTGTAATGTTCTGAACCTGATGACTATTATGAGTTATGTACATAGACTGTGGCTTTATGTATTTGTATACATAAAACTGTGTTCATAATTTTTGCTGCAACATTCAGCTCCACCTCACTACAGGGAAGTAAAACAATCAGACAGGGAGGGGCACCTCCCCAAACAGATGAGACAAGTTCCAAGTACCTAGCATTGTACAACCCAGCAAGGACAATGATGGATCATTAAAATTATTGGGAAAACAGTGAAGCAACTTGAAAACAGAAAACAAAACCCTAGTAATGGAAAATTAAGAAAGGAGGGAATTTTTCCCACTTACTACGGTTCAAAAGTGTAAATGAGCATCAGTAGTCCCAAGCGTATCATAAACTGATCAAGGAAACCAATGGTGAACTGCAAAGGAAATTTGTTGAGAACACCACCAAGTTATAAAAAAGCTTTTCAGCAATCTAGTCTACCAGCTCTCCAGACTTCTTGAAATAGGAATCACTGTGTCCTTTGATTGACTTGCTTGGATTAGATATTGAGAAGGTAAAACTTAAGGTTATATACAAAAAATACACCCATTTTAATATAGAAATACAATACAAATAACAAAATTCAATGTTAAATATTTGTAAAACCTGAAAAAAAAAATACAAAAACAAACAAAAAATAAAACTGAACCCATAGAAGTCATGCAAGGGCATCAATTATTCAAATGACTAAAGAGATAAATAAGTGACACCATAACTAAGGATAAGATTTTGTCATGGATATTTTTAGTAAACATCAGGGACAGGTTAATAAAGAAAAATTCATGGAAGCCGGTGGCCTGTCCCTGGCATTTACTAAAAATATTCATGGGGAACCGCTGTGGGGGTCAGCTGGGAGCTCCGGGGGCTCCCACCACCTGTGCGGACTCGGAGTTCCAGGGTCTCCCTCCCCCCATGGCTCAGAGCTGCAGAGGTGGCCAAGCAGCTGCGGGGTCCTCTGCAGCGGCTCGGAGCCCCCAGGTGCCCATGGTGGTGAGGAGCAGCGGGGTACCCCTGCCCCCCAGCAGCAGCCGTGAGCTGTGGGGTCCCCCGCCACCCACGAGCTCCGGGGTACCCCTGCTGCCCACAGGAGCTCGGAGGGCCCCACCACCTCAGATGGCAGGGGTACCCTGCAGCTCTCGGGTGCCACAGGTGGTGGAGGGACCCTACAGCTCCCAGCCGACAGCTGGCTGAAGTCACAGATGTCTTTGGAAGTCACGGATTTCACTAGATACCACAATCCATTTCTGAATGTTAATTGGTAAAGCCAACTGATTCAGCACCCCTAAAATTAGGCAAGCTTGGAGAAAGAGAGATAACATTTTTTGAGAGAGCACTGACTATGATGTTCCAAAACACATGCATTTTTGGAGAAGTATAGAGCAGCGGTTCTCAAACTTTAGCAAGCTGAGGACCCCCATTTTGATTTAAACATTTTTGCAGATCCCCAAGCCGGCTTTTAATTCCCCCCCCCCTCCCGGGGGTGTTCAACAGCTGTTCTGCAGCGTGCAGGAGGCACTGGGAGGGAGGGGGAGGAGTTGATCAGCAGGGCTGCCGGCCCCAGACATGACTTGTGGACCGCCTAGAGCCAGACCTGACTCACGGATGCCGGGGAGTACCCTCGCGGAGCCCCAGGGGGTCCGTGGACTCCAGTTTGAGAACCGCTGGTATAGAGGATGTATGAAAGGTTGTCATGTGGCTGTTTGCATGTCCAACATTCACTGTGTGTTGCTAATTTAGCCTTAAACAAACGTTGAGCCCAGTATATCTTGTTCTGGAAGAACAGTAAGGCTAAAGACAACCAATTTGACTCTTAATAAATCTGATCTTTTCATTGAAGGTCTGCCTTTTAATACCATAACTTCAGAATAAGTGTTGTTTATGGAAAAAGCTGTCACAAGAGGTCAAACAGGTTATAACATATAGCCTCTCTCTGTCTGAAAGGAATTCTTGTCTCCCCTCCAAACAGGCAGGCAGGGTCTGGTCACAGAAACTCAAGCATAGAACCATGTGTCCCCACTTTGCAGAGACTTTTTTGCACATCTTTTATTATCGCACCAACGTAATGCAGTCACCACACTTAATTTAGCTGAAACAGGGTCACTAACACACCCCACCCCCAAGGGCTACTAGAATTGTGACTACTACTTTGTGGCTTTAGGACTACAATCACTCATCTGAGGAAACTCAGAATAAGAAACTGGGGAAGAAAAAACTGGAACATCTTATTTAAAGGGGCAAACAAATGCACAGGGGGGGCAGTGCCTGCTCATGCTCCCCCTTAGCTATGGGGCTGTGCCATGGGTTTTCTTAATCTCAGTGTAGACATACCCTTAGTGACCCACAGTTATTCCCACTGGCACTTTCCTCAACACTCTAACCTGCATCAATACCCAGACTCCCTGGGTCTCTCCAGTATAGGAGATCATGCTCCCCCCTTTGGTCATGGCAACCATTTATCTCTGGCATCTTGACCTGTTCTTCACAAAGCAGCCAATCCCTCTCCCACAACTCTCTGCACCTTGGGCAGCTTTACTACATACCATACCCCTGACAAAGAAATGGAAGTGCTTTGTGTAGCGCTTGCCCTCTTTGGAATAGGAGACACTGCATTTGTAGATTCCAGACTGCTCTGGGCCGAAGTCCTTGAAGGCTAGGGATCCATTCTCCAGTATGGAGCAATATTTGGAATCTAGAAGAGATAGAGAGATTATAGATTGTGGTCTTCTGTTCCAGTCATAGAACTCCAAATCCAGCGGATTATGACAAAATACTAAGCATGTTAATTAACCACACATCCTGGGACACATTGACTACATTCTCAGTTCATTCTTGTAAACGTTCAAGAAACCAAGTAACTAATTTTGGCCAAATTTATTGTCAAAAGACAAAGCAGTACAATATTAAAGAGAGACATACATACTCTCCTTCCAGGAAGCAAACTCTTGCAGCATGTTCACCTTACACAAGTGTGCTTCAAAGACGCTCATTTCAGATAGTATGATTTTACAAATTATGCATCACTAGAAGTTTAAGTTTAACCCACTAACAGGCAATTTAAAAAACTTCTCACACATGTATGATCTATTCCTCCACCACTAAAAAATGCAGCCATCTCTGGGGTGTTATATAGCAGATGTTTAACAGTCAAGCATCCCTAATGCACAACAATTTAAGCAAGAAGTAAAGATGAACGCTACATCCAACTGAAGCTATAGGAAGGAGGCAATAATTTAGGGAAACAAAAATTAAATTTCCACAGGTCTTCAGTTTTAAATATGAACCAAAAATAGCACTTCCAGCAGCACAGCCTCACTCCCAGCACAATTCTGAGGCATTGGGGTCAGTACTGGCTCAAGGGGGAAGAGCACACCCTACTATGTCACCAACACTGCTTCCTGCAGTACAGCCCTGTCAAGGTTCCTTCCCCACTCTGAACTTTAGAGTACAGATATGGGGACCTGCATGTGAACCCCTAAACTGAATTACCAGCTTAGATCTGGTTTTGCTGCCACCACTCCCAAGTACTAACTCCCTTCCCTGGGTAGCCTTGAGAGACTTCTTCACCAATTTCCTGGTGAACACCGATCCAAACCCTTGGATCTTAACACAAGGAGAATTTAACCATCCCCCCTCCTTTCCCCCACCAATTCCTGGTGAGTCCAGATCCAATCCCCTTGGATCTTAAAACAAGGAAAAATCAATCAGGTTCTTAAAAAGAAGGCTTTTAATTAAAGAAAGAAAGGTAAAAATCATCTCTGTAAAATCAGGATGGAAAATAACTTTACAGGGTAATCAGATTCAAAGAGCCCAGAGGAACCCCCTCTAGCCTTAAGTTCAAAGTTACAGCAAACAGAGGTAAACCCTCTAGCAAAAGGAACATTTACAAGTTGAGAAAACAAAGACAAAACTAACATGCCTTGCCTGGCGGTTACTTACAAGTTTGAAATATGAGAGACTTGTTCAGAAAGATTTGGAGAGCATGAATTGATATCTGGTCCCTCTTAGTCCCAAGAGTGAACAACCCCCAAAACAAAGAGCACAAACAAAAGCCTTCCCCCCACCAAGATTTGAAAGTATCTTGTCCCCTTATTGGTCCTTTGGGTCAGGTGTCAGCCAGGTTACCTGAGCTTCTTAACCCTTTACAGGTAAAAGGATTTTGGAGTCTCTGGCCAGGAGGGATTTTATAGTATTGTACACAGGAGGGCTGTTACCCTTCCCTTTATAGTTATGATAAGCCCCGTCTGGGATCATGTTGGGGCACTGGTATCAAAATGACTGAGTACATGGTAGATTCCTCCATCCCTTGGTTTTTCCTTTGAAGTCTTGTCTATATTACAGGATCAGAAAAGTAAGACAGATGGAAAAGGCCTTGTACATCATCTACTCTCAACTTCTTCCTCTCCTGTACATTATCCAGAGTTTATCAGTCTACAATTAAGTAGCACATTTTGAAGGGGCCTCACTTTCATCTGCAGAAGTTCATTGATCGTGCAAACAAACAACATGATCACAAGCAAACTGTCTAAAGATCACTTGTGCACACATACTGCAGGGCTCTACATGTACTAAAAATTGAAGGCACAATTTCATCCCCTAAATGCTCATGTACAGGCCTGGTGCCCTGACTCCTTTCAGCTTGGGAGACCCAGGTGCCCTGGATGAAGGATAAACCCATTAAAACTAGGGCTGTCAAGCAATTATAAAAGCTAATCGCGATTAATCACGCAATTAAAAAAATTAATCGCGATTAATCACGCAATTAAAAAAATTAATCGCGATTAATCACGCGATTAATCACGCGATTAATCATGCTGTTAAACTATAATAGAATACCATTTATTTAAATATCTTGGGATTTTTTCTACATTTTCAAATATATTGATTTCAATTATAACAGAATACAAAGCGTACAGTGCTCACTTTATATTTATTTTTGATTACAAGTATTTGCACTGTACAAAAACAAAATAGTATTTTTCAATTCACCTTATACAAGTACTGTAGTGCAATCTCTTTATCATGAAAGTTGAACTTACAAATGTAGAATTACGTACAAAAAACCTGCATTCAAATATAAAACAACGTGACATTTTAGAGCCTGCAAGTCCACTCAGTCCTACTTCTTGTTCAGCCAATTGCTCAGACAAACAAGTGTGTTTATCTCCTGCAAATGTAATGCTGCCCGCTTCTTGTTTACAATGTCACCTGAAATGAGAAGAGGCGTTCTCATGGCACTGTTGTAGCCAACATTGCAAGATATTTACGTGGCAGATGCGCTAAAGATGCATATGTCACTTCATGCTTCAACCATCATTCCAGGGGACATGCGTCCATGCTGATGACGGGTTCTGCTCGATAACAATCCAAAGCAGTGCGGACCAATGCATGTTTGTTTTCATCTTCTGAGTCAGATGCCACCAGCAGAAGGTTGATTTTCTTTTTTGGTGGTTCAGGTTCTGTAGTTTCCGCATCAGAGTGTTGCTCTTTTATAACTTCTGAAAGCAGGCTCCCTACCTTGTCCCTCTCAGATTTTGGAAGACACTTCAGATTCTTAAACCTTGGGTCGAGTGCTATAGCTAACTTTAGAAATCTCACATTGGTACCTTCTTTGAGTTTTGTGAAATCTGCAGTGAAAGTGTTCTTAAAATGAACAACGTGTGTTGGGTCATCATCTGAGACTGCTATAACATTAAATATATGGCAGAATGCGGGTAAAACAGAACAGGAGACACAATTCTCCCCTCAAGGAGTTCAGTCACAAATTTAATTAACACATTTTTTTAATGAGCATCATCAGCATGTCCTCTGGAATGGTGGCCGAAGCATGAAGGGGCATATGAATGTTTAGCATATCTGGTACATAAATACCTTGCAATGCCAGCTACAAAAGTGCCATGCAAACATCTATTCTCACTTTCTGGTGACTGTAAATAAGAAGAGGGCAGCATTATCTCCTGTAAATGTAAACAAACTTGTTTGTCTTAGTGACTGGCTGAACAAGAAGTAGAACTGATTAGACCTGTAGGCTCTAAAGTTTTACATTGTTTTGTTTTTGAATGCAGTTATGTAACAAAAAAAAAAAATCTACATTTGTAAGTTGCACTTTCATGACAGAGATTGCACTACAGTACTTGTATGAGGTGAATAGAAAAATACAATTTCTTTTATCATTTTTACAGGGCAAATATTCATAATAAAAAATAATATATACTGATTTCAATTACATCACAGAATACAATAGATATGAAAATGTAGAAAAACATCCAAAATATTTAGTAAATTTCAATTGGTATTCTATTGTTTAACAGTGCGATTACAACTGAGATTAATCGCGATTAATTTTTGTAATCACAATTAATTTTTTTTAGTTAATTGCGTGAGTTAACTGCGATTTATCGACAGCCCTAATTAAAACCAAATTGGGGAGCTGGCAGCAGCTGCATTGGAAATAGGTGCCAAGTTCTTACAAGTATCATGGGGCCATTCAGTTGTTCAAAAATTAGTTATTGGGCTTGATACAGGATACACTGGGTGAAATGCTCTGACCTGTGCTATGCAGGAGGTTGGACTAGATAATTACAATGGTTGCTTCTGTCCTTAGAATCCATGATTCTGTCCCAAATGGAGGTGCCAGATGACAATACATCTGAGCAACATTTGAGGACTATGGGTGAATTAGCACACATGAAAAGATCAGGACAAGTCTTGGAAGATTCAGGTGCTTTTAGGCCTTCTGTCCTGGGGTAAATTTCACCCTAAAGGTGAAGAAGTGAGCTGGAGATGCTGGTCCCAACACAACAACACTAGAAGCTGGACTAGTTCCTTGTGCTGGTGACTGACAACAGGCTAAACTGACACAAAGTGTGCTCAAAGCATTTGTAACAGCAAGTAAGGCTGATGTATCCAACTCTTACAAGTAAGAGGAGGCAAAGCAGCCAATGAATTAATCACACAGAAAATCTGGATGGGCACCTTTTTTTTGTCCAGAAGCAAAGCAGTGACTTCAGGCTCTTAGGCCAGCAGTGGTCAGGAACACAGTGAATACATCAGAAGAGGTCTTACAAATTACTGGATCTAATGCAAACCATTTGTGGGGCAGAGAAGAGACAAATGGGGTGATATCCTGTAGGTTCTCTACCCTAATGAAGGGAGGCCCTGATTCATGCCACCTGCCTAGCCAACACAGGGGAATTAACAGAGAGCTTCAGTACTAGGAGGGAGGTTGAAGGAGGGCTTACAGCACCTTGAATTTCCTGCCCAGTGTCCTTGGTCCAGTTGTAAACTTGATCCATCCACGTCTTTGTCCCCAGCTGTTCAGAGGAGCAGGGCAGGACTGTCCCTGCACTGTTAATGCGGATGAAGACATAAACTAAGGTACAACAAAGATTGTTATTAATCATCTCTACACAAAATGTAGATGCTGGGGCCAGACAAGGGGGTGGAGACTATGGGGCTCCACAGACCCAGTTACTGCCCCCAAGTAGAGCATTGGGTGGGGACGGAGGATGCCCTTCAGGCACTTACCCATCTCATTTTCCTTCCCATAGATGAGCTGGTTCATGTTCTCTCTTTGTGGGTGCCTTGATAATACTGGCTGAGCTTTAGCCCTTTGTAATGGAAGGATTTTTCGGGTTGGAATTGGAACATGAACAAACCCTGCAGAGGCAGGAGGAAGGGGAAACCTCACTCATTCTGGCACCCCACAAAACAAGCCACCACAGACAATAACTAGACAGAAAGGATCTCCTTGTGCTTCTCAGGTACATACAGGATCACTGCACCCACCATAGGGAGGTGAACACCAGCCATTCTACACATGCATAGTAGTATCACACTTTGGGGATCTTCTCTGGAAGCTTTAAGTCTATGACCAGCCCACACTTTTTTGCTGAAAGTCTCTAGTTCCAAACCTCTAGTCCCTAGTCAAAATAAGGGCCTGGAACCCACAGAAAGAGGCCAGAGGATTCCCAGGCCTCATCAGGAAAGCTTTGGGTTGATGTTTGTTAGAACCCCTTTTGACTGTTGGAGACTAACTTTCTCAGAAATGACATACTATCACTGCTCAATTGAGGAAATGCAGTCAATATGACCCATAATCATCACTGATGTTAATGACCCAGGTAAGAGCTATCCTCATCACCATTAATGACCTGAACTTTCACCAAATACAGCCCCAGTAATCAAAAGGAGGCAGAAGATCTGGGACTTCCGGCCCTCCATGGGGAAGATCCATCTAGACTGTCTGCACAGCTAGGGCCCTTCTCTCCCTTATGCCCCCACTCTCCCAGTTACTATAGTATAATTAGAGCTTGCTACAAGAATTCTCAGCTGTGACCTCAGCACCTGAAAAATCTAAAGGATACTTTCCACCCTTGGAGCTTAAAGTGCCTGAGCATTCCTCTGTGTGCCATGTAACAGGGGGTCAGCCGTCTTTTCAACTTGATCATGGAATTGCTGAAAGTCATTGTGGTTAGGGAGAGGAGCTACAGATGACTAGTCCACATTATCAGACAAAGTGATGTCAGAGTCCCTGAGTCACTATATCAATAGGAACAACTGGTGGAACATACTCCGTTTCCAAGAGAGTGTAATTATCAAACACTGGAGAATAAGCTGGAAGTGGTTCCCATACAACTTGAGTACATAACATAAAAACGGCAATACAGGGTCAGACCAATGGTGCATTTAGCCCAGTATCTTGTCTTCCAACAGTGGCCAGTGCCTCCGAGGGAAAGAACAGAACAGGGCAATTATCAAGTGATACATCCCATTGTCCAGTCCCAGCTTCTGTCAGTCAGAGGTTTAGGGACATCTAGAACATGGGTTGTGCCCCTGATCATTTTGGCAAATAGCCTTTGATGGACCCATCCTCCATGAACTTCTCATTCTTTTTTTAACCCAGTTATGCTTTTGGCCTTCTCTACATCCCCTGGCAACAATTGCCACAGGCTGATTGTGCATTATGTGAAGACATATTTCCTTATGTTTGTTTTAAACCTGCTGCCCATTAATTTAATTGGGTGACTGCTGGTTTGTGTGTTATATGAAAGGGTAAATAACACTTCCCTATTCACTTTCTCCCCACCATTCATGATTTTATAGACCTCTATCATATCCCCCTCCTCAGTTATCTCTTTTCCATCTTTATTCTCTCCTCCTATGGAAACTGTTCCATACCCCTAATAATTTTTGTTGCCCTTCTCAGTACTTTTGCCAATTCTAATATCTTTTTTGAGATGGGGAAGACCAGAATTGCACATAGTATTCAAGATGTGGGCGTACCATGGATTTCTATAGTTATTACAATATTTTCTGTCTTAGTATCTATCCCTTTTCTAATGGTTCCTAACATTGTTAGCTTGTTTTGACTGCTGCTGCACACTGAGCAGACGTTTTCAGAGAACAATCCCCAACGCCTCCAAGGTCTCTTTCTGGAGTGGTAACAGCTAATTTAGACCCCATCCTTTTGTATGTATAGTTGGGATGATGTTTTCCAATGTGAATTACTTTGTGTTTATGAACATTGAATTTCATCTGCCGTTGTGTTGCCAGGTCACCTAATGTTGTGAGATTCTTTTGTAACTCTTCAGAGTCACCTTTGGATTTAACTCTCTTGAGCAGTTTCGTATCATCTGCAAATGTTGCCACCTCGCTGTTCACCCCTTTTCCCAGAGCATTTACGAATATGTTGAACAACAGTAGCCATAGTACAGATCCTTAGGGGACCCTGCTATTTACCTCTCCATTGTGAAAACTGTTTATTCCTACCCATTGTTTCCTATCTGTTAACCAGTTACTGATCCATGAAAGTCCAAGAACACTATATCCACTGGATCACCCTTGCCACATGCTTGTTGACCCTCTCAAAGAATTCTAATAGATTAATGAGACATGATTTCAATTTATAAAAGCCCTGTTGACTCTTCCAATATATCATATTCATGTCTGTGTCTGATAATTCTGTTCTTTACTATAGTTTCAACCAATTTGCCTGGTACTGAAGTTAGGCTTACCAGACTGTAATTGCCAGGATGACCTCTGGAACCTCAACATTAAAAAATAATAATAAAAAAAATCAGCAGTACATTAGCTATCCACCAGTCATCTGGTACAGAGGCTCATTTAAGTCATATGTTACATACCAGTTAGAGTTCTGCAACTTTATATTTTTGTTTCATTAAAAGCCTTGGGTGAATGGTCCTGGTGACTTATTACTGTTCAATTTATCAATTTCTTCCAAAACCTCCTCTCTTGCCACCTCAGTGTGGAACAGTTGCTCAGATTTGTCACCTAAAAAGAATGGCTCAGGTGTGGGAATCTCCCTCACATCCTCTGCAGTGAAGATGGATGCAAAAAAATTCATGTAGCTTCTCTGCAATGGCTTGTCTTCCTTGAGTGCTCCTTTAGCACCTTGATCGTCCAGTGGCCTCACTGATTATTTGGTAGGCTTTCTGCTTCTGATGTACTTAAAAATATTTTGCTGTTAGTTCTTGTGTCTTTTGCTAGATGTTCTTCAAATTCTGCTTTGGCCTGCCTAAATTATATTTCTGGAATTGACTTGCAAGAATTGTCTTTTCCCCAGTAGAATTTGGGGAATGAGAATGCATTCACAGTGTCTTGGAGAGGAGGGAAGAACGGGAGAATGAAGCCTCTTGGAGTGCCTGGTTGTGGCTTAAAGCTAGTAAGGCCACATAACCGTAGCGGGTTAATGGTAATAACCAAAGTGGTCTTCAGTATACCAGAAGCAAGTGCCACGAGATCAGGTAGGATTATACCACATGTCCCTCAGAGGTGAAACATATCGAGGGTGCAATGCTCGAATTACATGAAAGAGGTGGGTGTGATGTTACACCCCATATTCTTCATAGAAATATGGTTATGATATGCATATGGCGTAAGTAAGGTATATTTTATGTAAGATGGCTCATGTAAGGTATCATTGGAAAGGTTATGATTTACTGAATGCGATTATCCAATTTGTATGCATGTATTATTTCTGTATTTAAAGTTAGGAATATTGATTATGTAACAATTACAAATGTGTGTGTATTTGCGAGACACCCACCAGAGAACCAGCCATCATAGCCTTGATAAGCCTTCCTGAGAGGCGTCCTGGGACATAGCTGTGACACTACCAGATAAGGTGATAAGATCACCTGATACAAAATACCACCTTGGACACTGCTGGTACTTTTCCTCTGTAGGGAGATGGGGATCAAACAAAGGTTTCCTGCCTTAGGTAAATCCTTTTAAGGCTGGGGAAGGGGTTAATCTGGACTCTCCTCCATTGCCTACCCAAGAAGGACTGCTGAAAGAACCAGAAGGGACGAAGGAACTAACCTGAAGGGAAAGTCAGGGGTGAGTCCTGACTGAGACTTGGGTCCAGTCTGTAAGAAAAAATAACTGGAACTCTAAGCTACTGAAATGCTGCAACTTATCTAAAATAACATTTAGGGTGAGGAATTGCTTCTTGAAACCAGTCTCTGTAAGATCTTAAGTTTAGTATGCATGTTTTGTTTTATTTGCTTTGTTATGTTTTCTATCCCTTATAATCACTTAATCTACCTTTTATAGTTAATAAACATGTTTTTGTTTATTAAACCCAGTTTGTGCAATCCATATCAGGGGAGAAGGGGCAAGAAGCTGTGCATATCTCTCTTCACATTGAGGGAGAGGGTGAATTTTTATAAGCTTGCGCTGTGCAGATTTTTCTATACAGCGAAAGACCGTATTATTTTGGGTTTATTCCCCAAAAGGGGTGTGCATGTGAGTGCTGGGTGAATCCTCTCACACAGAGCTGACTTCAGTCTGTCTCTGCAGCTGGGTGTGGCCCTACCTGTGTGTGTGCTGCAAGAGGCCGGAGAGCCTAATTCAGCAAAACATGGAGGGAATCCAGGCTGGTGGAGCAGGAGGGGCTCAGTGAAACCCCAGTACATCAGGTGGCATCCCAGAAGGGGGGGTCCAAACTGTCACAGTAGGTTCTGGTTACAGCAACCAAATATATCAAACCCAGATCTTCTGCAGATTCTTCAGCTGTGGAATATATCTCATAGGTAGGAGCTCAAGGAAACTGCACTGATGAAGTGGAGGTGTTGCCTGTAGGCGATACCAATGGAGTCATCAGCAAGCAGGGTCAGATCCAGAGCCAGAGGTGCAAAATCATAATTCTCTCGAGAGCAATGCTGCTGCTTCTCTTTTTCTTATATTTTCCCCTTAGTAACAGAGAGAAGAAAGAGAAACCCTGACAAAATCTGTTTCTAGAGTTGATGGGGAGGAAGCAGCTGGCACCAGGGATGAACTTAGGCCATGTCTACACTACCAATTTTTGTCGAGAAAAGTAACTCTAACCGCCGACCCAACGATCTTCTCAGTTCCTTCTTGCCAGCAACTCCAACATAGGGGCAGGAGAGCAGGTAATGGAATGGATGTGAGCAAAACATCTCGAAGAACAACAGTTATGAAAAGAAGGTAACCGTTTTTTCTTCTTTGAGTGCTTGCTCATGTTGATTCCATTCTAGATGGCTCATAAACAGTATCCTTGGAGGTGGGCTCAGAGTTCACAGTCTAGCCGTTTGCAGTACTGCTCTACCGAAGCCAGCATTGTCCCTGGCCTGTTGGGTAAGCACGTAATGGGACGTGAATGTGTGGACAGATGACCAGATGGCCGCCATACAGATGTCCTGGATAGACACTTGGGCTAGGAAAGCTGCTGAAGAGGCTTGCGCTCTGGTTGAGTGGGCAGTGACAATCGCTGGAGGTGGCACCTTCATCTGGTCATAGCAGTAGCAAATGCAGGCGGTGATCCTAGAAAAAAGTCTTTGAGCGGACACTGGACGACCTTTCATTCTGTCAGCCACCGTGACGAACAGCTGTGTTGATTTGCGGAATGGCTTGGTCCGTTCAATATAGAAGGCTAGCGCCCTTCTGACATCTAGGGAATGCAGCCAACTTTCCTCCTCCAGCTTGTGTGGCTTTGGAAAAAAGACGGGCAGATAAATGTCCTGGCCCATATGAAACTGGGAGACCACCTTGGGCTGGAAAGCCAGGTGTGGATGCAGTTGGACCTTTTCCTTGTAAAAGACTGTATAGGGTGATTCCAAGGTAAGTGCTCTGATCTCAGAGACCCTGTGGGCTGAACTTATTGCGACCAAGAACGCGACCTTCCAAGAAAGGAAGAGGAGAGAACAGAAAGCGAGAGGCTTGAAAGGGGGGTGCCACAAATTGCAGGATGTAGCCCAAAGAAATTGTGATGAGCACCCAACAGTCCGAAGTCAGCTGCGACCAGGCTGACCGGAGAGGGCATAGACAGTTGAGGAAAAAGCAGGAGGTGGATCCTGGGCAGTGGCTGGGGTGTCATCCTTGGGCGCATCCTCAAAATGCATGTTTCTGGCTGCCCTGGTCTCTAGAGGGGGTAGGCTGGGCAGAAGAGCGGGAAGACGAAGTGTGCTGTTGCCTAAACCCCTTGTCTTTCTCCTCCTTTCTGTAGGAGCTAGACTGGGGGACACCCCACAACCTTGACTGAGACAGAGGAGGTGGAAGCCAGAATGGCGTTCTAGCTTGTTGAAGGGTGTGCAGCTCTGCAGTCATAGGACAAAAAAGGGGGGTTAGTGGGTTACCGATTGTTGTAAGAAGCCATAAATCCAGTGTCATTAATAAGACCACGATTTTTAGCATCCAGCTAAATTATTAAATTAAGTTCCCAGGCTCGTTTTTTAAAGTGGAGTGCAAGTATCCCATGTGGATGAGGAATGAAGTCAGATATGGAGTGGTTGTTTTGTGAAAAAGTGTTCACTCCTATGATACGGCTTTTTACAACAATCTGTAACCAACTAACCCACTTTTTTGTCCTATGACTACAGAGGTGTTAATGGGCCACTTCACCTTGAATAAGTTCCCAGACCTGAAGAAGAACTCTATGCAGCTCGAAAGCTTGTCTTTCACCAACAGGAGTTGGTCCAATCAATGATATTACCTCAACCACCATGTCTCTCTAATATCCTGGGACCCGCACAGTTACAATACTGCAAACAAAATAGAAATAAGGAGCACATTTTTAATAGTGATTATAATTAACCACTGGAACAATGTACCTAGAAACACAGTGGATTCTCTCACTTGAAGTTTAAAATCAAGACTGGATATCTTTCTAAAATATATGATATAGCTCAAAAAAGAAATTATGGGACTGATGTAGTAATTACCGAGTGCGATTTAATGGCCGGTGCATGTAGGTGGTTGGATTACATGATATTAATGATCCTTTCTGGCTTTAAAATCTACAAAAAAACCTCCTGATGAAGGATAATGTATATAGAAAATAAGTGTAACTGTAGGTAATGGGAAGATTTCCCTCTTCCCGACTTGGATAGCACCCTTCATTTTGCTTGTCTTGGGGGTCAAAAAGTTTTAGAACTATTTGGAATAAGAATGAAACTGATGAGCAATTGTAGGTGGGCAGCACAGTGCCCACACCACTATGCAGGGTATTAGTTCATTTCTGACTCAGAGGGAAGGAGCACCAGCTACTGAATCACTAACAACGCTTCCTGTAGCATCTGCGTTTTCAGTGTCTCTGGTCACCAGATGAAATGCTGTTTAGCTTCACAGCTCAAGATACTATGGCTTCAGGCACGCAGCTCACTCCCAGTGTTGTGCCTCTGGGTGTGCTGCAAGCATGCAGAGCAAGCTAATTCAATGAACCTCCCATAGCAAGAAAGAGTCCAACTCTGTCATTCCCAATCACCACTAAGCCATTTGTCAATAGCAAAAAATACTTTATAATAAATTACAGAACAAAATAAAATGTCAAACATGGGATTGCAGTGACATTTCAGTTACCCTGTTTCAGTAACTCAGAGAAAACTCCATTTAGAAACAAGTTCTTGAAAAGACCTTTCTAGCCTCTGATCAAATTTTAGCTGCAGAATTTAATAGGAAATACATTTAAAATTGAGGCTCTGGCTGTTATCACACAAGACTATTGCCCCAACCCTCTGAATTTGAGCCACCACCATAACTAAATGGAGACAATTCTCAGAAGAGCTTTCCAGCAGAGGTCTCACCCATCCCCTGCACCCAAGAGAAACCATGAGCTTTGAATGTGGGGATGGTGTTGAACTCCCAGGGGTGGACCAAAACTCCAGACAATAATGCTGACACACCAGGAATTCAAGTTCCCAGCAAGGCGGAGCAAAACTATTTGGAGAAAAGGGAAAAGTGCAATCCTTATTTTGTTTTAAAAGTCACAATGGCAAAAGGTTAAACACCTGAAGTCAGAACTCCAGCTCACAGTAACTAACTGATTTTGCAAGTATAGATATTTAAGTATCAGAGAAAGTGCTTCACGGAAGTTAGATTGCATACAAGGCTGCACTGGTGTCTTCACAGCACAGAAGGTGGTGAACAGTTTGCTCTTGCTGTTCTCGCCAGTGGAAGGGTTTGCAGCGCTTTGCTTCTGAAAGTCTCTTAGTGGCTACTTCTATTCTGGTACTTCATCCTTGTCTCCTGCATGAAGTTTCTGAAGGCTGGTTCTTCGTGGCTTTCCTCAGTGACTGGGGGGGGAGGGGAGGGGGAAACAAAACATAATTCAGTACTAAGCCAGCTCCTACCCTGCTTAAGGTTCTGAGTTAAGGTGGGAGTAAGGCTACTGGGAACACTTAGAGTAAGATGGAAAATGTCTGTCTGGGTCATCATCTACTTGCAATTCCCTTCTCCTTGGCCCACTCAAGTCCTAGAAATTCCCAGGAGAGGAATATGAGAAGCTAGAGAGAATTGGACAGGGAAGGGGAACACAGACACAGTCTCTGCCTCTCCCCCCCCCCTGCTCCCTGTCCCTGTCCCCCCCCACACACACACTTTAGTTGAAAAGTGTCTGGCAATCTAGTAGGATCCCCATGGAACAATGGGATTGAAAAACCTACATCATATGACACTGTACCTGCCCCATAAGGCATTGCAAACCCTTCCCAAAGCACCCTGCAGCCAGTTGCAGAGTGGGATAGCTACCCACAGTGCACTGCTCTCAGTGTCGATGAGAGAGCTGTTAGTGTGGATGTACTCTGCCAACACAAGGAGCATAATGTGGACAAGCAACAGTGGTTTAATTAAAGTGCTTTAATTAAAACAGCATAATTTTTGGCAACAAAACTCTGCAGTGTAGACATAGCTTAAGACAGGCCTGCACAACTCGTAAAGCAGCGAGGGCCATATTGCTCCAAAGAAAACAGTTGAGGGCCGACCCCTCCCCCCAGCACTGCCCGCCCTGCGGAAACAAACCCTCCTTCCCCAGCGCCGCCCAGCCGAAACAGCAGTGGGCCGAAAAGGAAGGGTTGTTTTTTTTTGGGGGGGGGGGGGGTGATACTTTATTAAGAATTTTTCAATTAAAGCAAACAATTGTATGTATGGCACACTAGGAAGGCACTGACAGTGTGTGGAAGCCTGTAGTGTAGAGGGGGAAAGAAATGGCGTGCATAGGGTGACCAGATCACAGCAGTAAAATAGGACCCATCCCCTCCCTGCTCGGCCCCACCATCACACCCCTCTTCACCCCCTAGCCCCCCCGCTGGCTTGCTGCGTCCCTCCTAGTCAGTCCCCCACCCACCACTCGCCTCCTTTCACCTTCTCCCTTCCCTGCCAGAAACCCCCATGCCCACTCCTAGAACCCCTGCTGGCTCACAGCTCGCCTCTTTGCCCACCTACTGCTTGCCCACCCGCTCGCCTCCGACTCACCGCTCACCCCCTCCTAAGTATAAAGCCTCATTCAAAGACCTGGGGTCACTATATTACTGCACACGGCAGTCAATCAATGCAGTTGTAGATAAATCTCTGCATTATGCATTTTTGTATAACTTTTATATGACTTTGTATTGAACCTTGGAAATGTGTTATAGTGGGCCCCTGAGGTAGTATAATTAAGGTAAAAGAAAAATGTCTTTTTGCTAGAAGTAGAATAAGATCTTCCCCCCACTTTGTAATCGATTGCCCTGTTGAATGAATGAGGTGTGAATGAGGAAGGTGTGGAAGGCAGCACCTCCAGACAGCTGCAACTCTTGGAGAGGGGATGGGAGCCAGACCAGATCAGGCCCAATGCTGCTCGCTCACCCGGATGTAATGGGCCAGTGGTAGCCACTCCATAGTTCAGACTGATCCTAACTTACAACTAAGATCCATTTTTAACTTCCCTGTAACTTCTCCAAAAAATTACCAGATCCCCTGAGCTCTCTTAGACCAGGTAGGATTTGTCTGGGAGGTTTCGTAACCTTCAGAAAAGGGGTTTTGCAATTAAGGTATTTCACAAATATCCATCATTCCCTTTCTGAACATTTTCCTAGCTTCCTATCCCAAAATGGCTTGGATATCCCAATATCTTCATCTTCCATGGACACAGGAGATTCCTCTGGCTCGTGGTGGGGCAGCACCATTATCAATTAACTGCACTCCCCTTTGGTCTCTCATCAGCCCCAAGGGTTTTCAAGAAGTGCATGGTGGTGGTTGCAGCTTACCTGAGACATCGAGGCGTGCAAATTTACCCATACCTCAATGACTGGTTAATCAAGGGCCGCTCACAAGCTCAGGTCCAACACAGCGTCAGCGTTATATGGGCCATGTGTTGGGAGCTGGGTCTGGTTATAAATGAGCAGAAATCAATTGGTTCAAAGAATGGAGTTTATAGGAGCAGAGCTTGACTCCACTCAGGCCAGGGCATACCGGCTGTGGAGGCCCAGTTCCAGGCGATTCATTCATAGATTCATAGATTCTAGGACTGGAAGGGATCTCGAGAGGTCATCGAGTCCAGTCCCCTGCCCGCATGGCAGGACCAAATACTGTCTAGACCATCCCTGATAGAGATTTATCTAACCTACTCTTAAATATCTCCAGAGATGGAGATTCCACAACCTCCCTAGGCAATTTATT